AGGCGGAGGAGCAGCCCCAGCGCCAGGCCCCCGGACCTCACGGGGCTGCAGTCCCAGGCCGCGAAGCCCGCGTCTCCAGCTCAGGGCAAGAAGAGTCCGCGACTCGTGTGAGTAACGCAGTCTTTCGGGCGGTGAGGTAGACCCCCCTGTGTCCGCACGCTCCCCTCTCGGCTCCCGTAGTGCCCACTCCACGTGACATCCTGCCTGCCCTGCCCCCTGCCGGCTCGCACGACAGATGTCACGCCGCTTCCCTGGTGGCTGCCTGATCCTCGTTGTTGGCGTGTCTGCGGGGCCACTTCCCCACTCCGTGAAGTCGGTCTTTGTAGCAGATACCCCTTCCGCTCCCTCGTGACTCACCCTTCCCTGCCGTCGCAGGCTGATCCCGCACTCGGGCATCTGCATCCCTTTGTCAGCCTATCGCTTTCCCTCCGTGCGCGGCTCTCCAGTATTACATCACATCCCCATTAGGAAATGCTCAGCGCGATCTTACCTTCAAAAGGGGGTCCGTCCCCCACTCCCCTTCCCTGTAATTAGTTTAGGAGCCCGTTGTACGAGTAGCTCCATGGAGCTTTTTCTCACTATTAAGTTTTCACATTACTTTGTACACGTTTTAGAAATCTGGTGCTTACTAGCAGGAAAAAAAAGTGACTTTGCCAGTTTTGTTAAATGTAGTCGTCTTTCCTAGAGCAAGCTTAAATGGGTAATTTTTCTTTTTTGCCAAGTAACATGTTTGTTTTTGCATACGTGTTAATGTAGGAACTTCATCCTTAAAAATCAGACTAATCTGAAAGAAATTCCTTTATTTCCTAGAGATAATAGAGGAACCAGGAACATCAATATTTAAAGCTGTTTATTAAAATAACCTTCCTATGTTGCAGAAGCACACATTTGTAAATCCTAGAAGTTAATCACATTAGCCATCGAATTCGTGACTGATAACATCATTTGTGTCTTGACTTTCAAGTGAAAAAAGTTAGTAAAAGCAGGGAAAGTGGAAGAGGGGAAGGAATCAGAGTTTTAAGTCCCCCACTTTCCTGATAGAGTGTGGCAAGATGTGGTTTATACCAGACCCAGTAGATTTAAAACACACCTGTTCCAAAATCAGAGCTAGTTACTATGAGCCTTATTTGGATCTCAATTTCTTGCGCAAGTTTCGTAAACAGCCTGTGCCTCATTTTCCTCATCTATAAGATATAATGTTAATCCCTATGAGATTAGTTTATGAGAATTAAATGCAGCATGTGTAGCACTTAGCACAGCTATTTTCAACCTTTTTTATATCTCATGGTGCACATAAATACTAAAACTGCGGCACACCAAAAATATATTTTTTGCCAATTTGACCAAATAAAATAGGTGTAATTTTTTTAAAATTTTATTTCTTTATTGATTTCAGAGGAAGGGAAAGGGAGAGAGAGATAGAAACATCAGTGATGAGAGAGAATCATTGATTGGCTTCCTCCTGCACACCCCCTACTGGGTATCAAGCCCGAAACCCAGGCATATGCCCTTGGCCAGAACCGAACCTGGGACCCTTCAGTCCTCAGGCTGATGCTGTATCCACTGAGCCAAGCCAGTCAGGGCAAAATAGGTATAATTTTGATTCACTCACATCGGATGACTAGTGTTGTGTTGGCTGTTGTCATTATTTAATAATCTAAGGAAAAAGAGGTCAGTGCCTCTGACTAGTCTGGTATAGCATGTTTTAAAAATTCTTGCTGCACATGGTTGAAAATCACTGACTTAGCACAAAGTCTGTTACATAGTGAATATTTATGAAAAGCTATTGTTTTTAATAGTGATGGCATGAAAAAGGTATAAATGTGTAGGGGTGTATTTTCATGTAAAATTGAACTTCTTTCTTTTTTTCCCCTATTACCATACATAGGAAGGTTAATAATATGTTTTTTAACATTCCCTTTTATTCTGACCTACCCATTTGAGAGTGCAATATACCTATCTCCTTGACAACTTTCTCCTCTTTCTGTTTCAACAGTTATGCTTATAGAAATGATCTCTTAAGTTTAAGATAATTGTAGCTACAGTGGTTGTAGCTTTACCATAAAAGTTTATTTTTTCCCTGATTCTTGACCAAAAAGTACCAAGTGAGTCTTTACTTCCACAATATAAATGTTACAATATTCAATCTTGGGTAAGATTATTAAATTAAATCTCTTTTTCCTCCACAATATTTCTGTGGGGAGGAATAGTCTTAATTCTTAGTGTACCTCCCATAATTTTTTTGTTACACATTTTCAATTTGCTGCATGCCCTGGAAATCAAAGGAGTTTGGTAAACCTTGATTGAGTGGTAACTGGGCCTGATGGTGTGGTGAGCTAGAGTTTTTAAAGATAATGAACCCTAGTCCATTTGACTCAGTGGTAGAGCATCGAC